GGGCCTGGTGGTCGCCGCGTTCCTGCTGCAGAGCATCGCCGGTTCGGGCGCGTTCGCCGCAGGGAGGAGGAACGTGGACCCCGAAGTGAACATGAACATCGTGAGTGGCGCGGCGGTGGCGGGGAGGGGCCCGAATGTCACCGGGAGTGTCCGCGGGCTTGTAACGGGGCGAGGAGTGGAGCTGAGGGGCGTCTGGGCGGCGTGGGGCCCCTTCACGGCCCCGCGGGCGAGAGCCCGGGGGAGCTCAGCCCTGGGTCAGCGGCCAGCCTGCTGCTGCCTGCACCCTCTGCTCGCACGTCGCCTTTCTCTTCTCCTCCTTCCAGGTCCTTCTTCGTCCCCTGTTGCCTGTGGCTGATCTTTCTCTCACGGCTTTTCTGATGCAGACCTGTGTTTTTGCTGGAGTCAGGACGCTCTCTTTCTTAATTGCTGGAAAAACACGTTTGCGGAGCACACTGGTGCTGCTAGCACGGTGCTCCCGTGTTCTTCCCGCAACTGCTTTTATTCCCATTTGACGTTTACTCTCTTAACTTTATTCTCCTTCTGCCTCAATAGCCAACTCTAAAAAATATTTGCTGTTCGTAACTGGTATTAATTGCTCTTTCCTCTGCCCCATCTGAACTGTGCCATTTTTTCACATGTGCGAGAAGATACTTAAGGTCTCTGAGAAGAGGAACACTTGAGTCATTGGTATCATCTAAATATCATTTTGAGAACTGAAAATTTAGTCTGAGGCTAGTAGCATTTGAATGGAGTTTAGCCTTAAATAATTTTGGAATGTTAATTACACTATATATAGACAAGATATATTTACAAGAAATAACATGTTTAATTAAATGCTCCTTCTCTTCCTTGCCCAGCAGTCTGAGTAGAATGTCTTGCATTTCTTACATTTTTCTCAAGGCACGGTTGGTGTAATAAAACCAATTAAATAGCAAGTTCTCAGTCCTAATGGAGTTGCATCAAATGAAAATAACATAAAGCCCAAGACATAAGAGATGAGAGATAAACCTATTAATGAAATCACAGTGTTAAACAAGTGTGGCTTTTTTCATTATTACTTTCATGTTTAACTTGTCAGCAAAGTCACTTAAAGGTTCTGCAACAGACATGAGGTTTGAAGAGAAAGATGAGTAGAAATGGCACATGAAACTATGAGCTGAGGTGGCAGTGTCAGCAGCTCACACGTGTAAAGAGTGTGAACTTAGTGTCTTAAAGCTGCTGTGTTTGTGGTTCGTTTCAGCACGTTGCCTAAACATGACTGCGTCCTCTGTCTAACAGAGAATTCAGCATGAAGTTCAGATACAAATCTGAAATGTTTTTAAATAAGCCTTTGCCTTCAGGAGAGATGAACTCTTCCCTCTTCTTCTTTCATATGCTGCTGTGGTGCTAGTAGCTTTTTGCTGTCCTCACTTGTTTGTTACTGGAAGATGCTACTTTCCTTGAGAGCAGGCAGTTTCAATTTTTGTCTGCTAAATCCACGTCTCGGTGTTTTGCCCTGTTATTATAATCTCCTTTTCAACACTTCAATCTCCTTTCTCACTGTAAGCAGTGTGTGAGTAACTGATATGACAGGGGCTGGGGACAGGCTAGGGAGTCCTTCCAAATTCCTAGGATGAGGTTTGTGCTCTGGCTAGTTCCTGGCTCTGTACTGGGTGGGATAAGTCTTATAAGAAAACCTGTCTAGAGTAGACTGGTGGTATGGCACATTCCTACCACATCCTTTAATTTCACATCAAAGTCTTTGGAAGGAACCCAGAGTACCTTGCACATCTTAATGAACTGAGTAGGCTAACAGTCTGACTCCAAGGCGGTTTCTTTTCTTTCTTCAGAGTGAAATTATTACCTTCAGGGGATATCCTAGTGAGGAGTATGAAGTGACAACAGAAGATGGGTATATCCTTTCCATTAACAGAATTCCTTATGGAAGAAAATGCCGTGAGAGGAGCAAAGGTAAGATTTATGTCCGCTTGGAAAAATGGGAAGTAATGAAAAAGCTCTCTATGATTTATAAAACTTTTGCTCCAGTAATAATCCAGAATAAGATTAAAGACTATATGACCTATGCAGTTAGAATGTTTTGTTGGTGAATGTTATGGCCAAAATAGATTAGGCACTTGTAGAGTGACTTCAGTAAAAGAAGGCAGAAGGAGTTAGAAAGCTATGTTTTCCTGGTATTGCCTTTTTATGACATTAATATAAGCCCTTCACTGTTGTTTGATTTTTTGAGGCACTGAGGGGCCTGGATTTTCTAGGGAGTGGAAAATAAGAGTTGAGATTTGTTGGGTTTTTTTAAGTATAAAGTCTCTTGAAAAGAGATTGATTGTAACATTCATGGGTTATTTGAAACCCCATTTTAAAAAATTCTTCTTTATAACAAATAAGTTTTTTAAAAATGCCTGACTGTTTTCAGAAGTAAGGGCAGTTCACATGCCTCTTTTGGTGAAATATAACTAAGCTACAAGGGTTCTCAGTGGAATGTTCACAAAATAATTACTGCCCGATTTTTGCGTAAAATAAGAATTGGTTTGTTAATTTTAACCTCTCTGAAGCTCCCTTTGCAGTAAGGTCCCAGCCAGACTAGTACTACATACTACTGGCATGTCATATTTTACACAGCTGCTTAAATAGATAAAGTAATATAATAAGATAAAATCCCCTCAGAACATCTTGAGTACAATATGTTTAACAGTATATTGCAAATTAGGATATGCAACAGGCAGCCCAGACCAAGTTGTTTTATGGATGTGATTTGATGGCAGTCTGTGAGGAGCATTGGCATGTGCCACCAGAGCACTGTTACAAGCTGTAAGGATTACTGTGAAAGCTGGTATAAAACCACAGGAGGGATGCAGGGGTTGTACAGGTGAGGATGTGAGGGAATTTAAGCTGAAACTTTAGGGAGCAATATGGGCAAAGGTTTTCACAAGGATTGAATGATGGAATGCTTTAAAAATGAGACAAATGCATGTGGAAGAGGAGAGACGTGTAGCCTTTGACTTGTTCTCCTCCTACGCTGCGTATGGAATTAACAGCGTATTTGAACAGCAATGTCTGAATTCGGTATCAGTCTTGTCACCACCCCTTATAGAAGATCCTAGAGACAATCGCATGCATACAACAGCAGCCTGTTTGCATAGAAACTGTACATATTTGAAGGACTGCCTCAGAACCCTTAGGCTGAAAAAACCTACCGGGTGAGGTAAAACATGGAGCTCTCAAAAAGAAATTAGTCATTGTCCTATAGTCTTGTGTATGAACAAGACCTGTGGAAAAACCCTCACCTCTGCCAAAGGCCCAGCAACAACAGTCTTCCTGACCTTATCTGTTGGTTTTGTATGAGTTAGGATGTTTGCACTGTGGGCTGTCTCTCACAAGGTGGGTGTGTAAAGATCAGTGCGTGGACGAGGCCAGTCAAATCTGGCAGGTGTCTTTGTACTTAAGAATTCTGGAGAAGCCCAGAGGAAAAAGTCAGGCTGCCTTTGTACCTGTTCATTTTGTCAAATCCTTCATCGATGACGTAAGCAAACAGAAGTTTCCCGATCTGTGGGAATTCTCCACATTCCCCTTGCCACACCTTCGACCCCAAGTTCATGTTTTGCAAAGTGCTTTAATTTTAAAAACAAGGATTACTGAGCACATTTGGGGAAGTATGATCTCCTAGAAGAATGAAGATTTCAAAGTTCATGTTGATTTTAAGTTTTTATAGACTTGGTATCTTTTCTCAGAAAGATACCAATGATGTGTTACTGCTGACTTAGCGCATATGTGCCATAATTCTTCTTTTGCAATACCTGCATAAAGTGAATAGGATCCCCTGGAATTATGTATCACATGATGTTTTGGAACAAAACCTACAGTTCTTCGTCTAAAAAAAAAAAGGAACTGTCCAGAGAACCTAACAGCAATACATCAATGATTTTTGGTTTTAGTATTAACTAAAAATCTCAACCAACTGCATAGCATGGGTAAGAAGGGCATGGAAATAAGTCTGTCTGTAACTTCTTAGGAGTGCAGTGAAGAGAACAAAATGTTCTATGGTGGAAAGGAGAGTTTTACTGACCTACCTACCTTATTCTCCCTCTGGGGTTTTTAGGATCAGAGGTGATACAAAAGTATTATTGCCCAACTCAGTTTGTCATATGACTGTGCAATTTATGTGCAGATCTGGTGACTTCTTGGTAAAATGAAAAAGGAACTGGCAGAAATTGGAGGCTAATAGGAGAATGGAATTAAAGCAGTTAAACAGTTTCCCCCTTCCTATGTTATGAAACATGAAAGCAGTAGCTTGAGGAGAGCCTCTTCTTCAAAAAACATCAAAAGTTGGTTGATCTGGGTTTAGCAAAAGGGAAGAATGTTTCAAAGCTAAAAGTGAACATTACTGAAAAAAAAAAAAAAATGTTAGGCTTGAAAATCCTGCACAGTGTTCATAAGGCAATGAAGTGTTCCTGCAGCAGAGTAAAGAGTTGTGTTGAACTGTACTGTCTCCAGTGCCAGTTTGGCACTGCTGGAGGCTTGCTGTGGTTACAGGCACATGTCACAACATGTTTTTTTAACAAAATGGGAAAAGTAGGCACTGAAAAATGTTCCTCATCACAGTTATAAAGGTTGCCAGGAGGGAGGAACATTGCTAATTTGGATTTTGGACTCAAAACAAACGTTTGTGGACATGACCTGGGATGGAGGGTGTAGGTGATGGAAACAGATGTGATTTGGGTGTTTCTGATGGAAGATTCAAGTCTGAATTATCAATGGAGGAAGTATTGCGTGAGTTAGTATTGTAGTAGAATGATGTGTCATTGGAGGAGGTAAATTCCTGAGTAATCTCTGGCACTGAGCTAAAGTTACCATGTTATCAGTTTTCAGTTATTAAAGCAGAAAAAAACATCAAGACACCTGTGTTACTGCACAGAGATCCAGAGACAGGTTTTTGAATTTTCTGAAGGCCGTGTTCCTCCTAAAGGCTTATATGTTAATTTATTTTCTTTGTTTAGAAGCAGGAATCTTCTTTTTCATCTGGAAGGAAATGGAGGGAAGTTGCATAGAGATAATACCAGTGCCAGTTGCAGAGATTTCCATGGCTCAGCACTCTACTTTGGTATTGTCTTAATTGGAAAACAAAGATCTCAGTAGCACATATATGGGAATGCCTTCCTCAGGGTTAGGGGCAGGGCAAGAGTCATAAGTAGTTTAGCTGTCTCTGTGTTTGGGCCACTTTGCTGAGTATTTGTGAGCTTGATATTTTTAAGGGCTACCTGTATTTTTCTTGTAGCTCCTGCTTTTCTCATGTTTGCTTATTGCACATTTGCTCTCTGTTTTGAACTTCAAGGAGTATTTTGCTCTAGTTAGGAAACTAAAAAGTTGCTAGTTTAAAATTCTTAATGATAAGAATTAGTGTTTTGTGAAAACACATGATTTCCTGGCACTAGGAATATTACATAAATTGCTAATCTTAGCAGATTAAGTAGATTAAATATTCAAAGTGCAAATCTAAAGCGGTCTTTCAATAAGTCACTTTAATTCTTCTGAGGCATTCAATTCCAGATGAACAGGAAGCTATGATAAATGCTTTATTTTTCAGGTCCAAGGCCTGCTGTGTTCCTGCAGCATGGTTTGCTTGCAGATGCCAGCAACTGGATCACAAATTTAGATTACAACAGCCTCGGCTTTATGCTGGCAGATGCTGGCTATGATGTATGGCTGGGAAACAGCAGAGGGAACACCTGGTCCAGGAAACATACACACTTCACAGTGAAGCAAGAAGAATTCTGGGTTTTCAGGTATTCTTGTCTTGCTAGAGAAACCACGTATGCTGTGTGTGAGCAGGCTCTTTGCATGTCATCTCAGCTCAGTCACATTGTGAATGTACAAGATATTTTTTTGTCTGGTTACGTGTGCTGTCACATACGTAGGGGCAGTAAAGGGGAGTTTTATGGTCAGTATAGTGTCCTGAGCCAGCCTTCATACGTGGTCAGTAGGACGTTAATTGCTTTAACTGGTGCTTGGTGTGAAGACTCAGTCACCAGAGTGTTCTGCTTCATCCAAGGGAAGCTTTTCTTTATGTCCAGGGAACTGATCTGCAGTGCAGTAAAGATCTGTGCAGCTGTTCCACACTGATATCTTCACTTACACAACTAACTGTTTATCTTGGGTTTGTAGCTTTGATGAAATGGCTAAGTATGACATTCCAGCCTCAGTGGACTTTATTTTGAAGAAGACTGGCCAGGAACAAGTGTTTTACGTTGGCCATTCACAGGGCACCACAATGGGTAAGTGAAGAGATGCATTCATTAGAATATAATGTGTTTGAAATGATAATCAAGTTCCACGTCTGTGGTTTAATGATGAAAAAATAGGGCTTTTGAAATCTACTGCTTCTGTTTTTTAGCTGCTTCCTGGAATATTCATCAGCCTTAAAAAGAAAAGACTTAACCTTTCTGTGTTTACTTAAAGTGGGAAGCTGTTGAAATGATAAATTGAAGTCACAGGTAGACACTGGTACAGTTTCTATTAAAATAAATTGATGAACTGTGCATAATAAAACTAGAATCATCAGACATGTAGCATAAAGATTCTCATTTCCAGAATATTTTGCTGTATGTAAGGCCTGGCTCAGGTGCTTTTAGAACTGCAGATAGAAAGAGCTGGAAGAGTGTTGGGTTAGTTAGCACAAACTTTTTTTTTTTTTTTTTTTTTTTTCCCCAGAGGGAAACAAATCCTTCTGATTTGCCTCACTTAATTTGTGTTCCATAGTAACTAGATTAATTTAAAATATGTAAACTGATCCTAGAGACAACAATAAATTATCAATCTAAAAATACTTGTGCACACTCAACACATCTCATATTTTATAGAATCACTGCCAGGTAAAATTCTCATCTAACTTGTGTCAGTGAGGTTTGTTAATTATTCTCCTATTATTTACAGCTTTCGTTGCTTTTTCAACTTTGCCACAGCTGGCTAAGAAAATCAAAATGTTCTTTGCTTTGGCACCAGTAGCTACAGTGAAATTTGCCACTAGCCCTCTGGCAAAATTGGGAGTGTTTCCTGATCTGCTACTCAAGGTTTGTATTTTGAGTGTAAATGTTTTAAGCCAAATGAGGTGTCCCTCTTTCTAGTTGAAAACAGCATAGCAAAGAATGTTAATAGCTGTGATTAGATTAACATGTTCAACAAGAATACTGGGCCAGTTTTTCCATAATAATTCTGTGGAGGTAAGCAGTGGCTTCTCTGGCTTTACTGCTGTCTAATGAGACCATTTGCATCAGTTTAAAGTAGTATTTTACAATTACAGCTTAATAGATGGAATAAAATTATGCTTTTTCCATTTACATGTTTCTAGAATATACACTACAGAATTCACATGATTAATTAAATAGTTGGTCTGTTTTAGAAGAGACGTGTTAGCTTTATACAGAATACTTTTGGATTGTCATGAACTTTAACAGATTTATTGCACAATTAACCATTTAGTATTAGAAGAGGATCCTTCAGAGGGTGATTAAGAGCAGCAGCTTTATTTAGATGCTGTGAATCATCCACTGGAGGAGTTTACCTTTCCCCTTTAATATCAAAGGGAATGTAGGCAGACTGCCAGGCTGCAGTAAGTGCCTGGAGTCAGACATTGTGAACACCCTGCTATGTGTCATTTTTAATCATCACTTTCCTTTCTACCACCCCTGCAAATGCCCACACAGAGCTGTTTGTTCTGTGACATAAACACTTCTCTAACATACCTTGTACAGATTTAATGTGTGTCTGTTTGCATTATTAGTCCCCTACTCCAAAGGCAGATACATAAAAGTGGTAGTAACAATTGTGATCTCCTGTTCCTCGTGTAATGAACTTTGTTTAATGACGATAGTAGCTGATCAGTGCCCTGTGCAGATGTTCGTGTTGTGCTGAGGAACTTGATTCTCATGGTGACTTGCAAAAAAACTGGAGTGCAGAAGTACATGACAGCCACAAACCCACGGATCAGGGGTATCTTTAGAGAGCTGTGTCACTTTTTAAGGAAGTGCTCAGTGGGCCATTTTCAAATCCTTGGACATCTTAAAAATACTCATCAAGAGGAAGCGGCCACCACAGCTTATGCAACTTGTTTTTCTTAACATGGTTTGAAGAGAGGAAGTTGCAAATACAAAGCCATTTAATGTTAGCAGATGCAGCTTAAAATATTCTAGCCTTAAACAATTCTGATGACAAGAAGCTTGT